TTGCGCGATCCGCGCTATTGTCGTCCGCAAGTTGCGCATGTTAGTATAGAATATTATCGAAAGCCTACTGTGCGAAGTCAACTCTGCTTGAAACCATCGTCGTTATCCCATTCAGTGCAAAGTTTCTTATTGTACATACTCAGTGCATATTGTGTTTTGCATCATTAATGAATATTGGAGAACAAATCTGTACTGTACTGCACACCAGTGTTACTGTCAATTACAGTAACAGATTACGGTAAGTTCTTGTGTGCAGTGCAGTTTTATCTAGATAGGGTGTGATTTGACCAAGCTTAATTCATTGCTTCAAGCTAGTATAATATTAGGACATTTTGTAGAGCTACTAATTATTTCTTCTCATGTGTTAGTGTACTCCCGAAGGAGATTTGATTTTAGGAGAAACAGAACCAATCGACAAGGGCGACTTCGAGAAAAATCAGCTCCTTGCAGGAAGACGACCTACATATACTGCCGAAGGTAAGCATGTGCACGGCTTTTTGTGATCTATCAATATGTATTTCCATATTAATCACGTCTTGAATTAGATTTCAAATTTCTCGTCAGAGCAAAGATTGAGATGGCTCTGCAACATTCACGCAAAGTTTGATCCATGTGAAGTTGAGAGCAAAATATACTTTTTCATTGAGCAAAAACTATAATCACCACCTAAAAAAATCACGCATTGGTCCATCTTGCACGCGCATATCTTCCTTAAAGTGAGATGCTTGTTATTTGTGTGGTATATGTTATGGCATGGTATGGTATGATATGGTATCGTATGGTAGTATGTAAGTCTGCACCATATTCTGGATTTTCTACCCAATCGAACTTAGTGGAATCAGCTCCTAGCTGCTCAGGACCTAGTGGCTTAGCAATTTTGGATGCTTTAGTAATGTCAATTATGGTAGACTCACGCAAAGGTGCTGCATGAGCGCGGATATGTTCCGACTTAGGTTTGGGAATTTTAGCAAAATTTGGGTTTTTCTGTTCTTCTTTGTCTGGAGGGAACATGTCCGGGTAGAGTTGCCGCATAGCTTCGAGCCGATCGGCTTCGTATGGATCGAAAGCATCGTAGTCGCTGGGACCAGGACTCAGGTTCAGATGTCGAGCATTCGGATCGCATGGCATTAGCTCCTAAAAATTCGTAAAAAAGGCATGATTAAAAAAATGAGCAAAAAAATAAGAAAGCCTTACAGTTTTCAAGAATTTTTCTCGTGATTTACACGTACAAAAAAACTTTGTACTGCTATGTGCATAGGGAATGATAGGGGATGAATTTCTATGTTGCGGGCAAAGACTCGCTTATTGCTTCCCATCCTTGACTCCCTCTCCCTCCCTCCTTCCGTTCTTAGCCCAAAAACTTTGCATTTTCCCTCATCAGTTTTGTTTAAGATGTAAGGAGCACTTTAGTTACTGCAAGACCTTTCGGCTAAATGCCGTTTC